GTTATCTGTTTGCCATTCCCAATCAAACGCCCAGTCGTTGCCTAACAATCCTTTTTGTTTTGCTAATGAAACATGGGTCACCGTACTTGCTGCATGTAATCTCTCTGCTTCTTCTGAAACCTTGACAGTAGCAACAGCTATGTAGTCTTTATCTGTTATTATGTCTTGTATTACAATTTGTTGAGATTTCATTTTGTGCACCTTTTTATCAAAATCATCGTCTTGCCCTGGAGTGTGGTTTAAACGCAAAGTTACATGCAGTTTATCTACTTGTTGGATTTGGTCTGGCATTTTTTTAACACATCTGTTATTTTGCTAAGCAATGTTGTTGGGACACTCAAAGGCGGACCAGTGTTCAAATCTAATGACCAGAAATAGTTTGGCGTGCCTGTTCCTTGCACAACCACACAAGCACAGAGACAGCCCTCCTCAAAATTACAAATGACCTCCTCACTACAGCTGACTCTGGTTCCTTATCCATTCTCATCCTCCTCGATCTGAGCGCCGCTTTTGACACCATCTCACACCCCATTCTCCTCAGTAGACTCGCTTCCATTGGTCTCTCTCACACACCCCTCACCTGGTTCCGCTCTTAACGGAACGCATTACCACCCGATCTCTGTAACTGTGACTCTCTCCCTACCTTCAAATCTCAACTCAAAACTCACCTGTTCCGGAGAGCATACTCCCTCTAACCTCCCTCCTCCTTGCTTCTGTTTATTATTGATTTTAAACATGTTCTATGCCCTGTTTTCTATGCCCTGTTTTGTAATTATCTGTTTTTATTTTTTTTTATGTACAGTGTCCTTGAGTGACCTGAAAGGCGCTTTTAAATAAAATGCATTACTCATTATTATTATCAGTGTTTGTTTTGTCTATTCTTTTCACAGTCATTCCACCAGTCTCATCGGGCACGATCGCTAGTCGTAACTGTGACATTGCATCTCTTCCTAATAAGTTTACTGGACAATTTGGTGCCAAAATAATTTGCATTCGGCATTTATTTCCATTTTCTGGATCTGTGAGAGTTACAGGATTAGTCAGTGGACATCTTGTAGTCAGTCCGTTTGCTGATTTAACAAAGATAAAATCTTTTGATTTTGTTATGCCTCT